TCTCCTCTCCCGCCCCAGCCCTCCCTTTCCATGACTCCTATCACATTAGGAAAAGAGGAGTGTGTTTGATTATTTTTGGTTTTAAGTTTTATGCTCAAATCCTGCCTTTTAAAGTAAGGGATATTTTAAATTTTTCACTCAAGAAAAAAAAATAACCCTTAATAAAGGTGTAGTGTTTTGACTTGTTTCTAGTTATAGGCTATGAGGTGAGAAAGCAGAGCACAACAGGCCACCAGCCTAATTCCAGGGTCTCCAGTGAGGAACAGGGAAGAGGCTTGGCTGGGCCCTTCCCCCCTACAGCACCCTGCCTTCCCCTTGCTCCTGTCTCATGCGAACCTTCCAGAAATGGAGGAGAGAGAAGAAACCAGAAATAGTGAGGGAAATGGGATAGATTGTGATAGGATGGCTTTAACTCTATAAATCCGTTTTCTATTTATCTAAAGAACACGGAAACACTAATTCAAAAAGATATGTTCGCTGCAGCATTATTCAAAATAGCCAAGACTTGGAAATAACCAAAGTACCCTTCACTGGATGAATGGATAAGGAAGATTTGGTGTATATGTATATATACACAATGGAATACTACCCAGCCATAAAAAAAGATAAAGTCTTGCCATTTGTGACAACATAGGTGGACCTTGAGAGCACTATGCTAAACGAAATAAGTCAGAGGGAGAAAGTCAAATGCCATCTGATCTCACTCATATGAGGAAGACAAAAACAACAACAACAAACAAATATATAGATTAGAGAATAGATTGGTGTTACCCAGGGGGAGGGGGGAGGGCGAAAGGGGTAAAAGGGCACATGCAGACAGTGACAGATGGCAACTAGACTTTGGGTGGTCTACACAACGCAGTCCTCACAGAAACTGAAATTTAATGATGTACACCTGAAATTTACGTAATGTTATAAGCCAATGTTACCTCAATAAAAACAAATAAATTTTTAAAATGTTAAAAAAAGAAAACATATTATTTTCAGATTATTACTAAATAAATAAATAAATTCATTTTCTTTCTGTTTTTCTCTCTCCCTGCTTGCCCATATTTCTTGAAGACAGAGAGAGGCCAGAAGGTTTTGCTGGAAATCTGTCATTTAAGCAAGAGAGAAGCAGAAACTGTACCCTAAGCGTGGTGACCCCCGTGTCTGGACTGGCTCCCAATCTGCAAGGACTCCAGTTTCTTCGACTTCAGGGTATCCTATAAGTCAGTCCATGCAGAGATGGCTTTTCCCAGGCTATTTCTATAGATTTCCTACTTCATTTGCATTTATTTTGCCTGCTTGTCAGTTTCAGTAAACACTTTAATTAATTATATATTTTAAAGTGCTTGATCATGTGCTGTATAGAGAAAGGGTACAATTTTTTAAATCAATGAGGAAAAAGAAATCACTGATAGGGCTTATCAGCTGGAACATCTGGTGTTTCACATATAAAAAAGAGGATGGGAAAAAATTCTCCAAATCAGGAATTCTATGACTTTGCCTAGAAATGGTTCTGCCTTGCAATGAGGTTTGTTGTGAAAGATCCCAAAGGTGTAAGAATGAATCTCTCTCAAGCATGGTGACCTCAGGATAGTGACAGGGAGCGACTGGCCCCCAAAAATAAGCAGAGCCAAGGATGTCAATCAAATGGCAGCTCACTGTGCAGAGAAAAAGGTGGGGGCTGCTGTACTCCCTGGGTTAGCAAAGGAAGCAAACCGGGCAAAATACACGTGCTAAAGTCACAGCCGACGAGATGGTCCTGGCTTCCTGCACACAGACGGGCTGGGTATCGGGTAGGCTCAGGCCTACGCTCTGAGGCAGGGAGAAGGGAAGACGTGGGCATCCCGTCTGTAAAAGGAGAAGCCTGTGGAAGGAGGAGTGGCTGAGCTGTCCCAGCGGCTCAGTCCAGCACCCTGCACACGGATGTCTCGCCTAGTGTTTGCACAGCAGCTATAGCATAAATAAGAACAGTGACAGGTGGCAAACACAGGATAAAAGCAGGGCGGCCCTGTGGCCAGGTGGTTGAGTTTGCGTGCTCCCCTTCGCTGGCCCAGGGTTTTGCTGGTTCCGATCCTGGGCGCAGACACAGCACCGCTTGTCAAGGCATGCTGAGGTGGCTTCCTGTATAGCACAGCCAGAGACACTCACAACTAGAATATATAGCTGTGTAATGGGGGCTTTGGGGAGAAGACGGGGAAGAAAAGAAGATTGGCAACAGTTGTTAGCTCAGGTGCCAATCTTGAAAAATAAACACAGGATAAAAGTAATAACATCAATAACTACCATTTATTGAGTACCTACTCTGGTGCCAGGTTTTTTCCTGGGCATTTTCACATGTATTATATTTATGCCTTGTAGCCTATGAGATAAATGCTGTTATCCTTATCATACTGTTAAAAAAAATAGGTCAAGATTAAAAATCCCAGCTCAGGGTTACCTAGTTTCAAAAAAGGAAAAGTCAGGATTCAAATCCACTTCTACCCAAATCCAAGGTTTTGGTGGCAACAGCACTAGCTCTGAAGTTGGCCACTGCTTTCAGAGAATCAAGAAGTTGCTTGAATCCCAAGGTAACCACCACCCGTGATTACAGCACCCCAACACCACACCAGATGACTCCAGGGGATGACCTAGAGGATGCTCCAGAAGCTCATATCCAGTAAAGCCTTTCTGTCTGCCTCCCACCGCTGGAGAAGCAATGTGTACCGCTTCTGCCTCCAGATCTCCCCCAGGTTCCTCCCATTGACAGAGTCTAACTGGGAGCCCTATTGGCGCAGGATTCTGGAAATGTAGTTCCCAGGGTCCAGCCCTGTGATAGGAGATCCGAGACGGGAGCAAGAACAATTCTGGATTGCCTAAAGAAACTCCAGAAGAGTCAAGGATGGGCCCTGCAACAATCTAGAATCCAGAAAAATATGTGAGAGTAGCTATAATCCACTGCAGAGAACTCACAATGAGGGGAGGGAGAGTGTAGACAGGCAACAGTTCACTGGAAGCAGCTGGTGAGATCAAAGCCGCAGAATGAATGTTTTGGCCACTGTTTTGCACTCTGACTGTATTCTCAAGTTTTCAGGACCTGGGAAGGTACTGTCTTGCAGATTCAAATTTTGAACAGCCTCCAGAAGAAATGTCACGTGTTGCAAAAGTCACTTGCCAGTCTTTCGTAGGCTCAGCAGAGTCCATTTTGAGAGGGCTGGGCACCAACAGCTTCAAGGACATAGGACTCTGAGCTCTGTTTTCCACTCTCAATGAAAATTCTGACCTGTTAGCTGCCCTACTTCTCTGCTCACCTTAATTTCTTCAGGAAAGGCTTTAATTTTAATGACTTAAGAGAAATTTTGGTTAATTTTTAACTTAATTTCAATTATCAAAGCTATATTCTTATCCCCTATTTCCTGAGAGCAATTACTTTCAATTCTTAGGGCTCTTTCTTTCCTCCATATTTCTTAATAGTATGCTTATACTGCTAGTCGTTGATTTTTCCAATTAGATATTATCTATTGACTCCATACTATTAAGAATGAGAAATTAGCTTTTATATAATTCAACACACATGCACACACACAAACACACAGCCCTTGCTTTTCCACTCATCTTCCCAATATAATTTTTTGGGTTAAATCAATATTCATTATTACATTATCTTGATTATGTAATACTTATTCAAAGCTGCATCATGTAGTTTTCTATTTCTTTTCTTGTTAACTCTGTATATTTCTTAGAATTAGTAATCATTTTTTCCCCTGACTTAGTTTTTCAGTAATTGCTAATTCAGCTGCAAACTCTCTACCAGAAGGAATAATCTCCTTTTAATAGTTTGAAACACATCTCTCAGTTTCCTATTTTTCTTAATGATACACTCGCCTCCCCAGAGCTTCCACCCTTCTGTTCCAATTGAGAACAACTGCTCCCTGGGATTCCTGCCCACTAGCACTCTGAGATCACCTGTCACCACCAACCAGAGAATTGAACACTGTGTCTCATGGAATGATCCCAGGGAGCTCCCTTGAGTCTTCCCCTCTCTCTATGGTACCAGGTGGTGGTGGAGATGCGGGGGGTGGTGGTGGTGGTGATGGAGATGGTGGTGGTGGAGACGGTAGTGGTAGAGATGGTGGTAGTGGCAGCGGTGCTGATGGTCACATATCCCCTCAACTGAGCAAAATCCTGTGTTTAGCTTCCCCTCTGTGTCATGACTCCCCTTGCCTTTCTAGATGATCCCACATGTGTCCCTGGCTTGTGAAAGTAGGAGGCTGGTGCATTCCAGAGCCAGAGAGTCTCCCAGCATGCCTGTGGTCAGTCTGCCTGAGTGGGAAATAACAGAGAGATACCAAAATACAAATGCGTGGGAAGGGTTTCCAAGAAGAAGTTATCCAAACCAGTTCTGGAAATAGATGATAATGTTATTTCCTTAAACACAGGATACCACAAAGACAGAGAGAGAGAGAGTATAATAAAGGGTACAATGTAAAAATTAGTTTCAAAATGCCAGCATTTTTCTCTTTTTTTAAGCCAAGTGCTTTGTGCTAAGTGTTGTCACCAGCGGTCTATGAGTGCATTCTGTATAGGCCCAGTGCCCAAAGGCTTTTTCCAAATCCGTTTTCCAAAATCATTTCTAAGGCTGTTGCTCCATTGAGTACAGCCTTTGGCTGCCTTCGTCAAAGTCAAGTATTGGATGATAACTGAACTACTGAAAAGTTTGGTTAGCTGAGGCTTCCCGGGAGGCCAAATAACAAAAGGAAGAAAAGCAGTATTTTACCATGCTTTCCACAGAGATTATAAACTGCAGCTGATTCAGACCTTGAGTGAACAGCATTTCTGCCCATTGCGCACACAAGACAGCACTGCCCATCGCTCTGTCAATGTTAAATATCAATAAATAATGTAGTGTGAATTGTAATGTCAGGCTTAGCTAGCATTTTAATTACTAAAATTCTCTAATAAATGGTATTTTCTACCCCACTAAGAGTGAGTTGCAATAAATTTCTGATTATGACCCCTCTCCTGCCTTAGGAGAATCATACAAATCAATACAAATGACTTACATATCTGGAGTCATTTTTTTAATTGAAGACTAATTTATATACAGTAAGATACATAAGTCCTAAGTATACAGCATGGTGAATATTTATGTGTGTAAACACCCATGTTATCACTATCCAGATCAAAATATGGAATACTTCCATTACCCAGAAGGTTCCCTCATGCCTGCATGCCTGTTTGATGCATTTTTAATGGTAAACATACTTTATTCTTTATTGATAAAGAATTTATTAACCGTACCTTATTCTATATTGATAACTTTCTTCTAATGAGAATATTTGATTAAGCAAAACCTTGACCATGCCAGGAAGAAAAGAAGCTAACGTTTATCGGGGAAATGCAATTTACCAAGCACTTTGACATCTCGTGCTAATCCGTTAGGCAGGTGCAATTATCTCCACTGAGACAGTGTAGAAGCTCGGGCTCTGAGAGGTTAAGGGACCTTTCCAATGTCTTACAGTCGGTAAGCAACTCCAGTCTTTTTTTTTCCATTTAATCACACTGCCAGATACTATAGCTTACTACACTTTGCAGATAACAAGAGGTGTTTGGGGGTTTGTTTTAGCCAACTCATTTATTTATGCCAAATAAAGAAAATTGATAAAGGATAAACAAAATCCATAGAAAATAAAAAGCACTTATCTGCTAGGTAACCTTAAAAATAGCTTTATCTACTCATTTACTTTAACAATCGCAGAAAAAGAGAGAGTGCCTATATTCTAACTATGCTTTAAAAACAAAAAGGTATTGCTTTTTAATCTCTTTGAAATGGCTACCTGTGTGAACTTGATTTTCACCCTCGTAAACTCATTTTTCAGCTCTAGTTGAGGGCAAGGGATAAAGGAGCAGTGTTAACCAGACTCCTTACACGATCTGCAGTTCACCTGATCCCAGGGACCAGGTGCCAACCGGCCAGGTCACGGGAGTAGAGGTGTCCCGGTGCCCTGGTTAGCAGTCCTCAAGGGCCAGTTCCTGTGACCTCATGGCTTCACCACCAACTGTCCCAGTTTGCCTGCGACTGTCACAGTTTCAGCACTGAAAGTCTAGTGTCCCGGGAAATCCCTAAGTCATAGGCATTTTGGGCTGGTTGGTCACCCTACTTGTCAGAGTACCTTTAAAAAGTGTTGTTTTTGGTCTTTGGGATTCCAAAGGATGGTTGGGAAAGTGAATAAGATCATAAATGCAAATTATTTCAATTTGATCACCAAAAAGGAAAAAGAGAATAGATATGCATCTGCTTATACAGAGGTAAGAAATCAGCAGGTGAACGTGGAACAGTCATCTCACCACATCCAGGGAGGGCCCCTGGTGCTGGTTGCCAGGGACGAGGCGAGCTCTCTGCCCCGCCTTCTTGGGCCGGTGGAATTAAATGGATGCACATGTATGACTCCACTAATCCCGCATCACTGAACTGTGCCCCCCAGCCTGCTTCGAGGGGCTGTGAGGATGGGAGGCAGGGAAGAAATGGAGATGACCGCAGACACCCTCCACCCGCCTGGACCAGCTTCGCACTTAGCCATTTTATCTTTTGAGCTTCCTCACAAGACTTCATTTAAATAATAGGTTTTATGATGTTTCTAAAAGTCTGAAAGCCATAGCATTAATCTCTTTACTTACAGTGTGTAAATAGCAACGCTCTCCGAACAATCCTTTCCAGAAGAGGAACACTAAAGTCTGCTGGGAAGAAGGAGATGCTGAGTCAAGAGGCATCAGGTTCAAATCCTGGGTCTACATTTGCCGTCGGTGTGCCCATGAAGATTCTTTATACGTTCTGAGCTTTAATATCTTCATTTGTTTAAAAAAAAAAAAAGTGCGTGCATGCTTGTGTATGTGTGTGTGTGTTATATTAGCTCAAAAGGTTGTTGAAAAGATTAAATATTACAGTATTCATGAAAGTAACTAGCATTGTACCCAGGCGTATAGCAAACACTGAATTACTGGCTAATCTGAAACTGAGTCAAAGTGTTAAAAGCATCCGTGCACTAGCAGTCTTCAGGCCCCGTGAATGTTTCCACATTGGCCCTCCTGCCCCCACCCCAAGCTCAGCACTCAGTTACAAACTACACAGAGGACTCCATAGCTGAGGGTCAGATCTCCCAGATGCCAGGATCTAAAGCCAACTCCAGGCTGAATCCATCCCAGGGACTGTAGCTTTAGAGTTGTCCTCCAGGCCCAGAAACCAACAGAGAGGTCTCACAGCAAAACAGGTGAGTGTGTGTGAAAGGAGGGGAGAACGAAGAGGTGTGGTGGTGGGCAGCGCTCCTCCTGAATGAGCATGGTTGGGCGGAGCGGGGTTGGTTCACACAGGATAGGACACACTGGTGGTCAGCATGCTCTGGGGATTCTGAACAGATAGGGAAGAGGCAGTGCTGGGAAAGAACCAAGAGAAGGACAGACTGAGGAAAGAATGCAGGAAGGCAGCTGCAGAGATGGAGAAGATGGATGAAGTTGGGGAGATCCAACCCCAGAAACACTGCCAGGAAGTAGAGAGGCTTTTATTCAACATCATTTCCAGTTAACCACAGCTACGAATGCTTAGAACGCACGCCCCCCCCCCCCCCCGCTCCCACCAGAAGATGCTGTGCCCGTGATTCCCATGTCAATGAAAGTCACCCTTGGTGCTCAAGATCATCACCTGCCTCCAGTACCCACCTGGCTGAACGAGCGACCCCGCCCAGCAGCAGCAGGGAAGCCCCTCGCAGCAGCATTACCTGGGAAGCCGTCAATCACAGCCTCTGAGCAGCCTCCTGGGCTGCTCAGAGGCTCCAGGCCCGTTCCCAAGCTTAATCAAGAACTCTAGCTCCTTGACAACTCCAATTCTAACCACCATCACTTGGCAAGGATTTGTAGGCACTGTCAAGTCAGCTACAGTTAAACTTGAATCAAGTTTGGTAGAAACTCTCTAAATCAACTTTTACCTCCATTTAACCAGACTGACTAGGTTAACCAACACTAGGAGTGATCATAGAATTTATTGCCCAGGACCTCCTGAAGGGTGAGAAGGGAGCTCTTAATGATTAAGCCAGGACAATACGCACAAACTGGGACATGAGGTTACACCTAACGCCGTGTCCCTCTTTCAAACCCACTGACCCGTGGCCCGGCACAGACTGCGCTCCGGCAGACCCCGCGCTTCTGCGCCCACCGGCTGAGCTATAAAGAACCCTTGTCTTCATTCCCAGACATGTTTATGCCCAATGTTTTATTATTATAATTACGTAATTATATTAAATATCATGTAAACTGATGAAATTTTAATGTAAAAAGAAAATTCTGTTCTGTAAAACTTCAGTTGGATGTCTCAAAAAACTCAAAAGTGAGTTGCTATACAAACAGATGTCCATACCAGTATGGGTAAAGCAACCATAAAAGGGTCGGAGAAAAATGTACCAAAACTCTAGTCTAGACAGAGACTCCACTCGGCTCACTTCACAAATGTTTTCAAGATCTCGCTCCACTTTAAAGAAACTGAAACTGCATGTTGTAAATGATGCATGAGGAGAGCGGTTTATAGAAGAATGAGGACATGCAACTCCAAACAATGAACTCACAGCCAGGAAAAGTTGGCCCTTACAGTAAAAGATAATCCATGCATTTTAAGTTTAAACTAAAAGGTTTAAGAGATATAGATACAGATACAGATTTTCTTTAATTCCCAGCTTTAGCAGACTTTACCCACTAACCAACAACCTCTCACGCCTTCCTTGACTCTTGGCAAAATGACAGCAGGTCCTCTGTCTACAGACTTAAGCCAAGTCTTAGAGTAAGAGGGCTCGCACCCACACAGGACATTTCATATCACACCCCAACAATTACTCAAGGTAAACTCATTGACCACACTTTGTTTAGGTGATGAATCTTAGGGGGAGATTTTACCCCTGACTGAAAACAGACCTAGGGAGAATGAAACTAAAAATGTCCGCTGCTCTGCAAACAGTGTTTCTGGCAATGTAAATATATGGAAGAATTTACTGGACCATAACTTCCTACTACAAACAAATTATGGTACAATAAGCAATTTTTATGGAAAATAGATCCGTATACCTTTTATCACAATTAAATTACTGCCAAAACATACACATTTTAACGAGAGGAAAAAGCACTAGTGACAAAAAGGACGTAGAGGTCACTGTCATTGAAAACAAATTGAAAGTCAGCAAGTTAGCCGAGGTGTGAGAGGTTGAGGGTTAGGGGGCTGTGAGGGAGTAAAGAGGAATCTGTGTTGCTGTAGTAAGAGGAACACGACAGTAATCTTACCCTATTCAGATTACCCTGACCCTTATTGGAGAAATCACAAGTCCATCTCTGTTCAGAAAACTATTAAAAGGATATAAAGAAAATAATAATACTAACAGCCATGTGTGCTTACCCCATATCAGGCACTGCTCAAAGTGCTTTATATCTGTTAATTCATTTAAGGAAAAAGAGTGAGTTTAGAGATGAATGAAAGACAAGATTTAAGGAATGGAAAATGGGTCCTTGCGGATATCAGTCCTCAGAGGACCAATAAGGGGATAATGGTTACAGTGTGACAAAGAGATCTCAGCTGGACAGAAGGAAGAAACTGTTCGGCCATCAAGCTGATCAAACACTGGAGTAAAGTTGGTTGGGTACTGTGGCTCCCGAAGGCCATTTGCCCAGGGAAGGAGCCAAGGTTCAAGGAAGCCAGGAGAGGGCTAAGGGAGCTGACTGGCTAAATGGAAGGTGGCAGAGTAAGCGCAGACAAGCCCCAGACCCAGAAGGAAAGCCGTCACCAAATCCCACCCAGCGCCAAACCAAGGGGCCCCAGTGAGAAAGTCACCAGGTCTTAGAAGCTGAGTCTTGAGTCGCGGATGGGGCCTGACACGTGGAGGGGACAGCAGAGGCCAGAAGGCAGGGTCTGACCAAGCCAGCTGCACAAAGTATCAATCTCAGCAGGTTGGCAGCTGCTCTGCCCTAAGTCTTTTCGAGTACGTTGTGTTCATTGTAAAGCAGTCCTACTCTGAGTTGTTATCTGACATCAAGAGACTTGCAGGAAAACTCACTGGGCTAAATAAGTAAGGGATTTCTCTCAATGGTTCGGTTCTTTATCCTCCCTTGTCTCAAAGCAATGTTTGGATGAGATGATCACAATGTATCTACAAATTTTAGCGTTCTATGAAAAATATGGAAGAGATGAAAGAAGAGAGGGTGGGACAAAGGGAGGGAATGAGAATTTAAATTACCATCGATGGAAGTCTACTGTTAAGTTTTAATATGAGGGAGCGACCTGAAAGTGGAAACAGGTGAGAAATCATGCAGGCAAGCTGGTACAGAGGTTCTGAAACAGCAACCCACGGCAGGCCAGACACATCAGACCCACCTGAGACGCCTTCTAAACAACGCATTCCCAGCTATTTTCCTAGACCTATGAAGTCAGACTCTCCCGGCACGGGACAGGTTCTCTCCAGTTTTTAAAGTTCCTCAGGTTTTTCTGATGCACAAGGAGAGCTGGGAACCTCTGACTTTGCAGACACCCTCAGTTTTGGGGGCCACTGACCAAAAAGAAGTGAGAGGTTTTTGCTCAGCGATGCTCGGGGAGCTGGGGCAGCAGCGCTGGTCCCATCCGGCGCAGGTATTTCCCACCAATAGGAGAGAGGCTTTTTTGACTCAGGACCTGATGAGAAAATGAGACAATGTTTAAGGAAATACAGTTCCCTAGGACTAAATGAACTGAATACATATAACTTATAGTTTTCTTAAGCAGAATTATGTACCGTAAAACTTAGATAATTGCAAGTATTAATGCCCTCCTCTGTAGGACAGTGGTGAAGCCCTTAGCCAGGACCACTTAGAAGAGAAGCCCTGTCTTCATCGAGTCCAAACCTGCATCTTCTTCCGTCATGTGCTCTACACCCAGGGAGGTCCTTTTGCACTGTTTCCTGCTGTCAGCGCGAATATGCTCGTCATAAAGAACTCTTGCTTTTTGTGTCCGCAGTTACTCAAAGTCCAGTGCCTACTGCACAGGTTTGCTTCCACTTAAGACATCAACTATATTACTATTGCTATTTCTATCTGTACTCCTAATTGCTTTTATACAAACTCACGTAACTAAAGAAACTTCTAACAATACAGCTGTCTCATATGAGTTCTTTTGAATGGAACTGTGGGCTGCTCAGGGCTTCAGATCGTTCCAGTGTCAAAGAAAAAAAAAAGAGAAAAGAAATCACTTCCGAATGGAGCACGTAACTAAAGTCTAGCTCCTTTCCTTGTGTTGTATGTGTCCCAATGTACTGTAAATGTTCCCTTATCTTGCATTTATCACAATGTGCTATAAATTTGTGTTTAATTGTTTATCTCCACCATGAGCTTTGACAGGTCCAGGAGGGTAGGGAGCATCTGTGTTATCCACTGTTGAATCACATACCTAGCTTCGTGCCTGGCTCATATAAATGCTTCATAAATATTTATGGAATTGAGGGATAGATGGATAAATGATTGTTTCCTGCTGTAACCACCATATTTTTTTGACAAAAGTACTACCTGCCATTGAGCCCCCAGAGAACAGATGGTATCACACTCATTTGTGTGCCCTCAGTACAAATGTTTGAAGAATGACTGAATAACCTAGGGTGGAATCAACCAAGCCATGTGATCCATTGCTTTGTTGCCCAGAACCTTCTACGAGAGCTGCATAAGCTTGTATATTATCTGAATCAAATCAGAGGATTCGGCAGACATTCTCTGAGCATGAATAGTCTGGCTTGTGAAACAGCTGAATATCTTAACATTCCCAAGTTTCCAAATTGTATATAGAGTAAATAATTTGCAATCAGGAATTGTCCTTGTTAGGGAAATTAGTGCTCAGAGAATCCCAACTCACACACTATTAAACTGAAGAAACAAATTCCCTGTCCACTTACCAGAGCCCTCGTTTCCTTATGGCATCATCTGAGATGAGTCAGGAGCAAAAAGGTCAACAGTGTCAGAAATGTAATCTCTGATTTCCTGCACAGTCGAAAGCTGAGAAGTAGGATTTGAGAATTGAGGTGTACGGCCGAAACACTCCTTCCCTCACCTCACTCCCCTCAAATCCACTCAACCAGGTGAAGTTTGGTTACTCAGGCAGACTATGGAAAGCAAGATTTTCCTGTTTCCACTTTCAAACATAAACTGGTCACCTATAGGAAATAAAACATGATTCAGAGTTGGGTCAACATTCTATTGTTAGGGAGTCAATACACACAGATCAGCTACGGACCTATAGAGACAACCTGGAAGACTCTGAGGTGCAGAATCAGAAAGGAAAATTAGAGCTAACAACTAGAGAGCATTTGCTGTTTCCAAGCATTGCAATGACTATCTAAAACATCTTCTTGAATCTCCATGGTAACCCAGGAGGTAGAATCTATTATTATCACTCTTTTATAGATAAGGAAACTGACATCCACAGACATTAAATAAACTTCCCAAGATTACACATTATGTAAAAGATGGAGCCAGGATTCAGTCCCAGACAGATGAAAAGGTGACAGTCGAAGCCAATCATTGAACAGCTGAGTTAAGAAGCAGAGGAATGAGTGGGCGCCCTGAAGGCTCCTGTGGAGTTCGTGGAGTGTGGAATACAGGTAGGACTTTCGTTCCAGGCAGTTCAAACAGAGGAGGGGGCTGTCGCATCATGGTGGGAAAAGGTGAGAAGACAACCAATCTGCCGCAAAATTAAGGGGAAAAAAAGAGTCCCAAATGATATGTTATCTGTCTCCCACAAAGCCTATCCCCAGAGAAGTTGCCTGATTTCTCTTCTACAAAACCAGTCCTTGGAGGCTCAGAGGAGGCAGCCTTTTTAATACCTTATCGGCTCCTGAAAAAATATGGTTTCCTTGCTAATCTCATTACATTTGGGAGTAACAAGAATCACTAAACAAAGGTGGGTCTTTTCCTCATGATTCATCCACTACCCAGTAGCCACAAACTTATGAGAATTGCCATTATTTCCGTTAACACTGCTCTGCTCAGGAAACAAGACACCTAATCATAACTTATTCTCTGGGTAGTCCCAAGCATGTTTTGTTCTGACATCCCTCATCCTGCAGCGAGTGCAATTCAGTTTGTAGCTGGATGCAGCCAGTGTCTGTCATCTGCTCCATCAAACTCACCTGAGGGTGGCACGAAGCCATGTCGCTGCAATCTTTACTTTGGTCCTCAAATGCTCTGAGGAGCCAGTTTAGCCCTGAGTGTCCCTGTGGGAATCATGAACTGGGCACACATTAGACAATTGCAGCAATACTTCTAGGCGTCTCTCTCAACAGCAGGCCCCTCCGAGCAAGCATTCTTTGTATAGCAGGGTCAGAACTCAGTCCCAGCTCCCAGGTCTCAACCCCAATCTGCACAGAAACTTCCCGTCACAGTTCTAATGAGCAGACTCAGCTTTCGTAGTCGATGGCCAAAGGCAGGAGCTGAAGTAGGGATTTGGAGCCCAAAGGTCAAGGCCAGGAAGACCAGAGCAAGTACAGAGGGTCTGGAGTAAATGGACCACTCCCAATGAGGGTCAATTTTATGTGTCAACTTCACTTGGCCATGGGGTGCCCAGATACTTGGTCAAGCATTATTCTGGGTGCTTCTGTGAGGGTGAATGAGATTCACATTTAAATTAGTAGGTTGAGTAAAGCAGACTGCCCTCCCTAACGTGGCTGGGCCTCATCCAATCAGTTGAAGGCCTGAATAAAACGAAAAGGCTAACCCTCCCCTGAGTAAAAGAGAGTTCTTCTGCCTTCAGACTTGAACTGAAACATCTACTCTTCCTGGACCTCGAGCCTGCTGGCCTTAGGACTAAAACTGTATCGTCAGCTCTCCTGGTTCTCGGGCCTTCAGACTCAGACTCCAAGTAAACCATTGGTTCTTCCAGATGCCCGGCTTGCTGACTCACCCGCAGATCTCAGGACTTGCCCATCTCCATAATCACATGAGCCAATTCCTTAGAATCAATCTTTTACATAGATAGAGATACAAATATACAGATGGATAGATGTTAAGTATGGAATACATACAATATCAAATACAATAATATATCTATATCCTATTGGTTCTGTTTTTCTGGAGAACCTGACTAGTACACTTCCCTTGCATTTCAACTCTCACACCCATGACCCACGACCACACCTTTGGACCTTGTTACCACCTGGATCTGGATTTCAGCACGCCACTCTGACTACAACTTCCTATCCCTTCAGCTCCCTGAGTCCTTACACCCACCACACCCTCTCTTTGACTCACTGAGATCTCCCATCCTTGACTGACTTCTAATTCAGCCCTTACTATACTTGCTTCCTGCTCTACCTGTCGGGGCCTCAGGTCCATCACACAGCATTTCTTGTCACTGTCAACTCCTTTGCCTATAGTGGACCATATTCACTCGGAAAAAGCCAAATTCCAGATCAATCCCACTGCCTGCTACCTTTTCCACATTTAGAGCCAGGCCACTCAGAACACCACAAATACTGATGCCCCTACAAATTTGGACTTTATTGACAACGCTTTCTCTGGTTCCTCCTCCTCTATGCCTGGCCACTCACTCTCATTCTCTCACTGGGCCTCTGCTTCTCTCCCCTGCCCCAGGACGCCATCCTCCAGCCTCTTCTCTGCATAGACTCTTCCTGGATGACCATCTACCCCCATGCCTTTAACCTCCATCTGTATCCTGACTACTCACCCATCTACATCAGCAGCACTGGTCTCTCTCTGGATTCCAAATCCAGTTTCTCCTAAGCAGCTGCAGGCACTCCAATTCGACATCCACAAAAGGAACTCATGATCTTCTCTCATCCCCCTTCACGTTACCCACCGCTAACAACCTATTCTCTTTACACTTCCTATTTCAGTGAATGACAACACCACCTCCTTCATTGTTCAAAATAGAAACCTGGGACTCATGTCCCACATCTAAACAGTCACTAAATTCTGTTTACTCTTACCTCTTTTATATCTTCCAATTGGTGTCACCTTAGTTCCTTACCAGTTCCAATTGGCTCCTTACTTCAAGATTTTATTGTTTTCTTATCTGGATGAATGCCTCAGTCTTATCTGCCTTTCTCAAATCTGCAATGAGCTTTCTAGTCATTCAGTCAATAAGTATTTTTGAGAACATACCATGTGTCAGAAACAGTGCTGGGGATATAATGAGAAACAAACACAGACCCAGTGGCTGTCTTCATGAGAATTACACTCTCTCACATCCTTTTTCTAAAGAATGAATTCGCGTTCCCCCTTTACAGGCAAGTGGTACAGAGCAGCCCCTCTGGTCTGAGGCCTACTTCCTCTGCTGCTACCATGTGTGCTTGGGCAAGTAAACAACACTGTGCTCCAGCTTCCTCACCTGTAAAACAAGGATTATAAGCGTGCCCACACCCAGGGCTGGTGGCCACGGATACACACCGTGGGGAGTAGCAGTGCTTTACAGCTGATGTCCATTCTGACTCAACGGTCACCAATCATGACCACGCCAGGTTGGTTGTTACATATTTGTAGGTCCCCCTTGCTCACTTCCTCAGGTTGACGTGAGGATTAGATGAGCTGATACAGGTGAAATGCACAGAGCAGCACCAGCACTAAGAAGTGCTCAGTAAATATTAGCCAATGTAAATTCAGTAGATGATTTCCCATCCCATAGTATACAAAGCTCTCCATTTCTTGCTGCCTGATCATCTTACCCTCCGTTCCAGCCACACCAAACTCCTTAGTTCCCCGAATAGGTCATTTTCTTTTTTTCCCACCTTTGTACCTTTACCCACTCTACTCCCTCTACCCAGACTACGCTAACCTCTCATGCGTGTACAAATACACACAGAAACACCTGGAGAATGCCTACTCTTTCTTCAACACTTAGCTCACATTTTTTAAATGACTCAGGTTGGGTAAACCATCCCTGATGCCTGACTCCCCTCTTTGGTGTCCTGCCTACCGTCATTTGTTAACCACCCTCTATTGCTATGGCCTTCTCAGCATCCGTTCCCTTAGCAATAGCCTCACCTCTCTTTCCTTTGAGAAACAGCTCCTCTCCCACTACTCATTCCGTGTGAGTCTACAGTGTCTGCAAGCACAGTTTGCTGCCCTCCAGCTACATTACCCAGATGCAACAAATCACAGTAACCCATGGCCCTGGTGACAGTGGTTGGTCCAAGGTATAGGGATGTAACACAAACTTAGCAATAAGAGTCCCTGCCTCTGGATTTTTGTAACTGGGGCTAGAAGGGAAGATTTCTTGCATGTGGGGTCAAGGAAGTAGAAAGATGTAGCACAGGGGCTATTTATAATCACATTCTCATTAAATTCTAACTAAGGAATCCTGATGTATTCTTAGAACACATAGGGCTTGCCTCTCTCAAAGCCCATTGACTCACTGATTGGAGTTATCTGTTTGGCAGGTGCTCAACAATGTTTGTTAACTGACTGTCTCACGTTCGGATGTACATAATTTCTAAAGGGAATACTGAAAATTGGATACAGGTAAATCCCACCTTTGGCCACACTAGATAGTATGTCACATCTCGCTCTAATTTACAACAGGAATAGGTTCCCTCTGATTACTTGAAACTTCGGAGGAAAGAACCATCCTTCACACGTATCTTGAGGAGAGAATGTATGAGTCTGTCTACAGCTTGAAACCTAGAGACTGATAATTAAGCTATAATTGACCAGAGCTCAAATCTTTCCTCTAGTGTGAAAAATCTTTTTTGCACATTGACCCTTTGAAGCTAAAACGGTAGAAGACATTAAGGGAAGCCAAACAAGGATCTTTTTGTTTGTTTACCATAGAAGAGAAAAGAAAGAAAACAATTTAGTGAAGCTGGAAAATAACTTATCTGAAATGAAAAAAATGCAGGCTCCAAAACTTCTGTAGCCATTGAGTCGCCAAGAACACAGGGACTCTATTGTGCATCCTCGCTTCCTCCACGCCAGATCTAGAAATTAGAAATAATATTATGTGTCCTGGCTAGTCTCACTACAGCTTAATGAGATTATTTCTAGAAGCCCTTTGACTTCAAAAAAGTCATAGGAAAATTCAAAGAACTTTTATTACAAAAGGTTTCAATTTGATTAAAAAGCCCTTGATGCCTCCTTTGTGAGTCATGCATGTTTCCCACTGACTTTCTATGTGTCTCTATTATCAGCATTAAATATTTATTTTAGGTCTATTGAAGTAAAATATTATTCTCCCAGCTCTCAGCCCAAGGTGATTTCTAATGACTATTTAGTTTTTATGATGATTTTTAACATTTGCGTTAATAATAGAAGAATCTGATGTTAAATTGAAGGTTATTAAAATTGGCCTCCTTTCACATTGTCTGAATGTTGAAAAGATCTTTTTACTTTTTTAACATATTTTTCCTTAATTGCATGAGAATACACTTAATTGTTATTTAGAATTTGTATGGGCAAAGACTTGAAGTTGTACCTTAGTTGAAACAGCCATGATTCCCTGCCTTCGCAACGTCCACTTGGATGTCTAATACGTGTCTCAGATTTAACATATCCCCAAAATACTACAAATATTCACCCCCCAAAATACTACAAATATTCATCCCTCCCACCCTGCTCTTGCTGCGTCTTCCCCAGCTCAGTTACTGGCAACTCCATTCTTTTAATTGCTTCAGTCAAAGCATTGAAGTCATCCCTGGCTCCTTTCTTCTTTTCATACTTCCCCTTCAACCCACCAACAAATCTTGTCAGCTCTACTTTCAAAATATATCCCAAAATATGCCCCCCTGGTCCCACTTGCTGCCACTCCTTCCTAAATCATTGCAGCAGACTCAAAACTAGCTTCCCTTCCCCGACACTTGCCCCTTCAGTCTATTTTCAGCACAGCAGCCAGACTGATCCCCTTGAACAACTTAAGTTAGATGTCACCCTCTGTTTAACCACTGCCCTCCTCCCACCATGGCTGCCCAGCCACTGAGAGCAAAAGCCAAAATCCAGACAACAACACGCAACTTCAGGAACTTTCTAGTCCTCCAGCCACCAGACCTGTTCCTTCTTCATGGCTTTGTACCTCGAGTGCTCTCTGCATTCTCTTCCCCAGATCTCTGCCTGGCATGTTCCCTCACTGTCTTCCAGTCTTACTCAAACGTCATTTTCTGAGTGTGGCCTTTTCTGACAACTTCATCTAAACTTGCAACTCCCCACTCCCAATACATCCTTGCCCCCTTCCTGCCTCATTATTCTCCTACCTCCCTTCAACACTATACATGATCCCCCCATCTTTTTAAGGTAATCTAACATACTGTTGTTTATCATCTGTCTCCTTCTCTAGGACGTGAAACACAGTGGTGGCAGATATTTCCATCCCTATTATTCACTACTCTATCTTCAGGATCTGGCACAGATAAATATCAAGCGTCTAGAAAAATATGAAAAGAACTTCCAGCTTTCTTTACCATAGCACCAGGGACAATGTCTCTGCTTTTCGACTCCCATTTTGTTGGGCATAGTATTCTTTTTCCAGTGGACATTTCAGACCATGAGACTAGAAGAACACCTGTGCTCAAGAGAGTTGGCGAGGAAGATGAGTGGCACACGGCTTATCCGGGCTCCGTCTTGATGGCTCTGGGTGCTAGCTACAACAGACCACAGCTCCATGCAGACCTATGAGCACCTAATCAGAGCCACACACGCCATGGGCCAGTGAAAACTTCTCAGAAGAGATTGGTTCCAGAAGCAACTTAACTTCCCCATTGATTACCGACTAGAATGGACCATCCTAGTCCACAAAGGATGAATCTGAAAAATCTCCAGGTATAGCGAGGGGAGTGCAAATCAATGAGGCTCTGGTGGCAACATGGAACGAACATAGTCCTTACACCAGGCAGCTCTGCCACCTGACTTTTGCTGTACTGGATCCAGATGTTCTGATTTTTTCAAGAAAAGCCAGGCTTTAGATTTCATGTGAAATCTCTCAAATGCAAAAAGTTGGCCTCTAACTCAAATTTAAAACAACCGCGACCATACGCTGTGAGCCAAACAAAACAGCTTCTAACCACACTCAGCTGGGATTCAACCCCTGCCTTACAGGCTGGGGAAAACTAAATCCAATTCTGAGAAGAGTAAACCAAAATAACCAGACTTCTGCCTTCCTTAATCTCCTGTTAAATTCCTTCCTTCCAGAAAACAGTCTTCATGCATGGGTCAGAAAGCTCGGCCATCATGTACTCAGATTCCCTCATCTTCAAACTCAGCATCAGAGTGAGCATGTCCATCTCGCAACTTGCTGGGCAGGGCCAGGGGAGGTTTGTTCACCCTTAGCAGGCCCTAAGTGTCCTCGGCATCTGCAATGGTAAGAGTGGAGAACATCGGGAAAGGGAGAGAAGTTCTCACCAATGCCAAGGGAGAAAGAGAATTCTGTGGCTGCCAAAGGACAGAGTGGGGCAGCCTAACTGTGTGTAAGGAACACAGTCTGAGCTAAGAAGTGAGGGGCTAATTATTACCCAAATCTTCAGTAGACTGAGCCTCTCAAAAGCTGGGACTATGTGTAATCCATCTGTGTACCCTTAGACTCCACCACAGTGCCTGGCGCGTAGTAGCCACTCCACTGGTTGTCGGGAGAAAGCGGAGCGGTCAGTTTTCTATCATATGACAGAAGAAGGGAAAGATTCCCAACCCAGTCATCAATTACCGGCCTCAAAACTTCCCCAAGAAACTGTGAAATTTAACACTTCAGGATCAACGGCTGGATTTGCAATTTCAGAATCGCAGACTTTATTGTTCTTCTTTAAACCGTCATAATAGAAGGAAAGGGGAAGAGGAAAATTTTAAACTTAGCACCCAACAACAGAGGCACTCACAACTAGAATATACAACTATGTACTGGGGGGCTTTGGGAAGAAAAAGAAAAAGAAAAAAGAAGTAAAACTTAGAACCCATATTTTATCAATTTTAAGAAGCAGAAAAAAATCTACTCCAGACACGGACAGGTGAAACAGCTGAGAACCCGCAGAGATGTGGGTAAAACTGCTCTCCAGCACTGTTTCCCCGGGCACGTATTTTTTAAATGCAATGATTTTAGCAAGGGTTGCAGAACTGTTATTTGTTAGATGAAGAATATGTAATTAAACCCACTGTTCTGAAAGAAAAGCTTTGTGAGTATTTTTTTTTTTTAAAGGGGTTCTGTCCTTGATGCCTGACCTGAATACAGTTGCAGCCCAGCTCACCGTGCATGGCTCCACCACAGCAGAGGACTACTGATTTGTGTGGGTCAGAATACACAGAACTCTCTCTAGCCCGGGAGCTGCTAAAATGCATCCACAGTCCAGGGCTGCGTGTTTCAGGTACGGCAACAGCGGGGTAACAGCTGTTTTACTTTATACTTTTTATTTTCTTTTTTCCTTTTCCCCCAAGAACTGAGATAAGCCCTTTCTGGGCAGGACAGCTCCACTGACTTGTTGTGACAGTTCTTGTTCCTTTCACACTGGGTCACACACAGTCACAAGAAAGACGTGACCGTGACCGTGGGGAGAGCAGGAGGGTTGAGGCGACTGCACAGAGAGCTTCCCCTCTCTTCGCTTTTCCAGGGACTTTGCTGAAGCCCACTGTCTTCTCTTTCGTGACTGAGACAATTTCCCAGTGACATTCCCATGACATTCTGTTCTTGTCTGCACAAAACGCTCTGTGACTGCTGAGAGACCACGTGTTAATGCAAAAGGGCAACAATAGGCAAATGAGAAGACTGAGGTATGTGGCTCTGCCACAGTCCTGGGGAAGTCACATGCCTTCTCTGAGCTCAGGTTTTCTGTCCATAGAAAGGAAACTGGGCATCAGTTATTTTCAAATTGCGTACTGTGGAAGTCGGGGTGGAGAGATCGGAGAAGAATCCGTGGATCTCCGGGACCCCGTTCTCACTACCACACTTCAGCCACAACAGGTCTTATCTGTTTCTACACTGGATTTCCATATGAGATTTTCCTTAGAGAAAGGGTTTCATGGCTTAATAAATTTGAAAAAAAATCTGTCTTTTCCAATTCTCACCTTCCACGATTCTGTGACTTCTCTCTCTGATGACAGATAGCCTCAATCTCCTGCAGTGCTTGTGTTCATTAAAGCAGACCCCTGTAGAAAATGGTAAACTGATTCATGCATGATGGTTTTCTTCAAAATAATCACCTCCACCATCAAAAACATGAATTTATTAGGCATTCATTCATGCACAGTGCAACGTGGGTTACTTATTAGCACCAGCAAAATCGACAAGTTTTGTTTTCAATCTGAGAGACTGAGTGATTTTACAGATTTTGGAAAAGAGAAATCTTGATAATGCTTTCAATGTGGTATAGCTATTAAGTAGCAAAGGCAGAAATAAAAATGGGTAACGAATTTGAAAATGCTATCGTAACACAAATTGTAATGGTCAGTAAGCAATTAAACAGTCTCATCTGGAACCACTGTCTGCCAGCATTCCCTGCCGAACCAAACAGGAAAGTGTCACGGCTCTGTGAACACGAATGACCAGATTCCAGCATCTATGGTGGGAGGCGACTCTTCACAGGAAAAGGGGTTTACATACCTACCACCCATTATCACAGGCACAGGAAAGAACCCTGACCCCTCAGAACATAGAATGTGAATTGCAAAGAGCAAGCAGCTGCTGGGGTAGGAGAGAAGATGGAGTTCAGAAGGGGAAAACAGAGGTCTATGGAATTGCGTATCCATCCTCAGAACTGGCAATTCACATTGGAAGGGAGCAAAGGCTTTCCCAGAATTAGCTGACAGAAATCCAATATTCAAAACATACTTTACGAAATACTTAAGCAAAGGCTGAGGCTTAGCAATAATCATAAAGCAAGCAGAGGATCCTTTAGACCAGACCATGAAGAATAGAAAGAAATGGGTCACGTTACCTTAGCCATCCAAGCTGATGTATGACTAGGTCCTTTATGAGAAGGAACCAGAGATCAATATTGGAATCAGCTCAAATGTTTTTTATACCATTATCCGTCTACCTTGTTGAATAAACATTGTTGCCAGGGCTATAATGCAGTTTTTTAAAAAAGAAGTTATGAAGAACGAACGTTAATCTATCCCTCCTTTTCCTCTCATCTATTCTCCCTGTAATTTTTCTGTTTTGTGAGCCGGTTTGGCTAACAAACTGAGCAATTTAACTCTCCTCTGGGAGTTCAGATTTAGCACAGCTCTTGTTCTGTTGACATTTCCCAATACAAAAATCCCAAATGTCTCAAAACTAGGATAGAAGGTGAAAAGACGCCTCCTGCCAAAGAGAAACAGCCCAGGTACTCCAGAGTTCAGATAATTTTGAATACTTTAGAGAAGGTATTTAGAATTCTGATAATCTTATATACAACCACAAATGACACAATTGGATTTCTTCTCAAATGTCTCAGAAATTCCTAAGAAGTGGCCCTATAGTTACTTAAAACCAATCGTTCATCATGGGGGTTAAAAAAAAGTGCAGCATGTAGCATTCAGTACCACAGTATAGTCGTCCTAGTAGGAGAGCACGTGATAAAGGAAAAGTCACCTAAAAAGCAGGCAGTATAGTCTGGCTACAGAAGATAGTTATGTGGCTCCTGGAACCAATTAAAGGACACCATATCGGGTCCATTTAAATCTAAAGTCACTTGGGATAGTTGTTAGTGCTGTTTACCAAATATTTCTGGTTCACCCTATTGCCAGACACAGGATAGGATTGCCTTTTCTGGCCCCCTTATGGTGTGTGGAGCCATGTGACTAGTTATGGCCAATGGCTTATGAGCAGAAGGAAATAAGTCACTTCCAAGAAGGAGCATTTCAGTGATAATGCAAGCCCTTTAAGACGGCTCTTATCCCTCTGGCACAGTGACTGGAATGTTAGCAATGGAGAATACTCCATCTATCTAGGTCCCAGAGTGACTCTGATGAACAGAGCCCCTCCCAGATGTGGGCACACATGAACACATGGCACGAGAGAGAAGGGAAGCTTTGTCGCTTCAGGCTGCTGAGATTGGAGGACCGTTTGTTACGGCAGCATTACTTAGCCTATCCTAACTGATCCAGTGCACCCTGGGTTTGGATCACCTCAGTTCAGGAGGTGAATGCACGAGAATGGACTACAACGAGAGACTCCCAGAACTGACCCAATCATTACTGGGAATCCTCCAAATTAAGGATTACGCTGGACCGCTCAGAGGGTCCCGTGCTGACTGCCCGACTCCTCAGACCCACATCCCTAAGCAGTACTCTTAAGCCAGCGGGACATTGAAGGGTCTCTAGGATCTCAACCCATTGTCCCCTCCACTAAAGTGCTCCTATGGGATAGGTTTACTCCCTGTCTTCTTTCCCCAAAAGGTTTTGGACAATAGATTCAACTACCAGAATAAAACAGCACATCCTGCAAAGTGCCTTAAGGGACTTTAAAGTCAAAGTTCTTTGTAGCTCCCACCAGAAAGTGACAGGTTAGTTCCCTTTTCAGTACAAAACTTGGCATATCATATGACAACATCTTAGTGTAGGATATTTTTCCTCACAAAGCATTTATTTCAGGCTGTTCATGGCAGAATATTCAATAAGTATTTTGAAAAAATATTTCTTAAAGCTAGTGCTCATATCCTGAAGGGGAGGAGAATGCCTTTCCTTTTCTGTTTATGCGGCTGTTCATTTACCACAGCGCGGGGTTGTCAAGAGAACCACCTCGAACAGCAGGCCTCTTTGACGCTCCGTCACAACCTTGGGGCATTCGGGATTTTCACCTGCTTTTTCCCAGGTCTATGATTTCAAGTTATCTCAAAGAACTTTGAGTACATTTCTTTCAGAAAAAACCCTTCTATCAAACTAGAAGGCATCAAAGTAGGAATAGTCTGACAGAGACTGCCGTTAATAGAAAGCTACAGAAACAAAAACTGAGAAATGCTGAAATACTGTTTTCTTTTCTTCTCCTTTTTGTTTTTTCAAGCCACCAGAGTGAATGGAAACAACTTAAGTAAGATAATCAGGTAAACCTCTTACGCTCCATAACCATGAGCTTCAAAAAATGTTCTTTAAATATAGCCGTTGGAATAGGGTTTATATTTAGATTTTTCTTTCCCTCCAGTCTCCTCTTATGGCAGTAATATGTTTTGTACACGCCTAAAACCTTTCTTAGTACCTAAAAATTCCCCTAGATTTCATGAAGTAATGCAAATGGTAATCACAAGTGCAAACGAGTAATTGGTAACACAAGTAACCATCTGTGCACGCAATTAACCGCCCTGAGCAAGTAATTGCCTGTTTTTACAAGATCCTACTTAGAAACCTCAACTTAAGCATATATTTTTTGGATAATTCTGCCATAACACACAGCAAAACTTTTACTTGGGACAAATACTTTGAAACAATTACCCAAACAACCTATAATTTTTAGTCTTAGAAAGATCCTACCTAAGAAGCCACCCCCACGGTAAGTGATCTCAGTGGTCTCACGCTTCTGCACGGCCGTGCTCAGGGCTCAGTGGTCTCACGCTTCTGCACGGCCGTGCTCAGGGCATTTTCCAAGCAGAGCAGCCCATTAGTCCAGGAGAACCCAGCACAGCTAATCGCCTCCATGACTGCTCTCCGTCTAAGAACCTTTAGGAGATTTCTGAAACTTTTGGTAATTTTCTAACTAATTCATTCAATTTTGTTGAATACCTCCATATACAAAAGCTTTTGTTCTAAGCTCTATGCAAAATATAAAAATGAATTCGAATATGGTATTTTTCTCTTAAGGAACATGCAATCAATCAGGAAATATAAGACTTGAAGCTAATCATCCAAAACACGTGCCGTTTGTAACCCAAGGGCCGTGAAGGGGTGCCTGCTACCTCACCAAGCCACACCCACCTGGCAAATCAGGCATGTGTCGGGGGCGAGCATCACAACCGCAACAAAAAGCATCTGTGGATCTGACCCTGCACCAAGCTGTGTCCCTCGCTCCTATTGCCCCAAATTGGCCTACTTGCCTTCCCTTTGCAAGGTCACTGGGTCTCCTTGATAGTCATCAACATTTTCCTTCAGCAGCTATTGACTTTGTTCCCCTACCTGCTGCCAAAGCCTTAACCCACGGTGGGCTGTGAACCTGTGCCAAGCTGCTACTTCCTTGCCATTACCAAACACCCCGTTGCTCTTCCCATCACTGATGCTTGCCTTTAAATACCACACATACACTGACAACTTCCAAATTAAGATTTCTAGCACTGACTTCTCCTCTGAACCCCACACTCATCTATCTAATGGCCTTGTCAGCATTTCCTCTTAGGTATCTAATAGTCAGGTCAGACTCTGTTTTCTAAAACCAAACCAAACCTCCTCTTCAGACCATTTCCCTATCTCAGTGATGGGCAGTCCCAAACCTTATAGTCATCCTTGCCTCCTCTCTTTCGCTCACACTGGACATCCAACTCATTAGCTAATCTTTTTGACTCTACCTTCAGATAGATCCAGACTCCCACCACTTCTCCTACCCCTACCATTTCCACCCTGGTCCAAGCCCCCATCACCTCTTGCTGCATTAGTACAATCACTTCCCCACTGAGCTTCCACCCCAACATCTCTAGTTATTTCCTCACTCCATGATTTAAAAGTCAAATTAAGTCACTCTTCGGATCAAAACCCTCAAATGGCTTCTCGTCTCAAAGTCAAAGCAGAATTCCTTTCAAGAATCTAAAGGAACCTTCACGATCTGCCCCACAACTCCATCTTTCTTTTCTCATCTCCTACACCACCACCCCTAGCCATCATGATTCAGCAAAACTGCCTTCCATATTGCTCCTTGCTCCAAGTGCACGCCTGCTTTCACTCTCTGGGATGTTCCTCCCCACGTGTCTATGGAGCTCATTCCTCACTTCTTTCAGGTCGCCTTATCAGAGGGGCCTGCCCCGAGCTCTGAGGCAATACAAGTCCTGCCCACTGCCCGCTCCCACGCTTCCTAGCCCCTCATCCTGCCTTCTTTTTGTTGATAACCCTTCTTCCACATGATATACGTTTATTTTCTCCCTCCCATATTAGAATGCAAGCTGCGTGAGGGCTGAAGTTTTGTCCTGCTAAGCCTTCTAGCATCTCATGCTTGCCACATAGCTTCATGTGTGAATGAATGAATGAATGAATGAACATCCCTCTGGTGGAAGAGGTCCCTCTCCCCATCAGAAT